GCCTGTGTGTGTGTCTTTGCAGATATTTAAAAAAGAGCACACACACTCAGTGCCCAATTCAGACCCACTGTCCTGTAAGCTGCATTTTCATGTAACTACAGAGGGAGGGACGGGTCTGGGTTGGGGAGATCTCTAGTGCCCGGGCTCTTTTTGGCCCCTCGGGGGATGCAGGGCAGTCTGGTGTTAACCCCCCAGCACTGGGGTGAGAGGGGCCTGTGGTCAATGCCATTTTCTCGTCTGTGGCCTGTATCGGCTTGCTAAGGTTACTGTGACAAATTATTGCACACCCTGAAACAACAGAATAGTTCTCACACGTCTGGAGGCTGCAGATCTGAGACGCAGGTGTCGGTGGGGCGAGTTTCTCCTGAGGCCTCTCTCTTTGGCATGTAGACAGCCGCCTTCTCCCTGTGTCCTCACATGGCCGTCCCTCTGTGCGTCTGGGTCCCCATCTCCTCTTCTTTTAAGGACACCAGTCATACTGGATCAAGGCCTTCCCCAACAACCTCATCCTAACTCAAGCTCTTTAAAGATCGGATCTCCAAATAAGGTCACATTCGGAGGTACTAGGGACTTCAACATTCAGATTTTGGGGAAGGACCCAATTCAGCCCAAAACACCTTGGCCCAGCCATCTCTGACCATGCCAAGCCTCAGTTTGTGTATCAGTGAAATGAGGCTAATAATTGTACTTATCTAAGAGGGTTGTTAGGTTGACCGAATTGAACAATCGTGATACAGCCCTCTGCCCAGGGCCTGGCCCCTCAAGCAAGCATTCAGATATCACTTCTCACTATCCCACGTGTGGGTCGCCCCGTGGTTTGGGACATCACTTCTCTGCAGAGGGGTGTCTGCATGGCATGAGGGAGAGGCCATGGTCACCTGGTACCTTCCTCCCTCTGTGCCCAATAGTCTGACCACCTTCTGCAGGTAGATGCCTAGAGAACAGTTGCTGGGTCAAGGGCAGATGGCAGCCTGACTCCCGCAGGTGCACCTGGACCCTCTGTCAGTGGTGGATGGACAGCAGACCCACCCACCCATCCCCAACCCCATGCGTCTGCTGCTCCTTCCCCTCTCCCTCTGACTTCCCTGCTTTCTTGTCTGAGGTTCCCATTTCTAAGGCTCAGCAGAGACCGCAAGCTGTGGCCTAGGCTCCCCTGGTGGCCCCAACCCTCCTCACTGGCCCTCGTCCTCCACCACGACCCCCTCTGCTTTAAAGCCACATGGGTGGCTTCCTGCTCTCTGAACACAACTTGCCCTTCTTGGCCTCTTTGCACCAAGGATGTCCTTCCCTCTGTCTTTGGAGATGAGACACTTGTGGCTTCAAGGGGCAAATGAGACCCTCTTTATGAACACTTCTAATGCCCCTCCTCCCTGTCCCTGAACCATGTTGCCGAGCTGACTGTGGACCTAAAAAACACTAATGATGGGGATGATGGTGATGGTAATGAAGGAACAATGGGGGCGTCTGGGCGGCTCAGTCAGTTAAGCATCTGACTCTTGCTTTCACTTCAGGGTACGATCTCAGGGTTGTGAGATCGAGCCCCCTTCTCCCACAGGGCTCCATGCTCAGTGCACAGCCTGCTAAGATTCTCTGTCCCTCTCCCTCTGCCCTCCCCCTACCATGTTCTCTCTCACTCTTAAATAAATAAATCTTAAAAAAAAAAAACCCACAAAAAAACAAAACCCAGTAAGAACAATGTCTGTCTCAGCCTCTCATCCCCATTGATTCAGCCTTCCTTGAGGGCAGAGTGTCTCCTGAGGCGGGGGCAGGGGCACAGGCCTCCCACGGGTCTGGCCCAAGTTACCCTGCAGGCACGGAGCTGCTTGGACCTGATGTATGGATGGGTAAAGGGTGCTGGATAGGGACTGGCAGGAGAAAGGTGTGTGGGGGTGGCGGGGGCGGCCATCAAGCACTGTGCATCGTGATCCTGATTATGGAACCTATATCTGGGAATGTACTCATATACCATTGTCAGTAGGCGAAGGAGAGTCTGGAAGGAAACACCTAACAGTTCACAGGGGCTATCCCTGATGAATGGTAACTTTGAAGCGTTGGCTTTCAACATTTCCCAACATTTCTGATCCCTCCTTCAGGGAGAAATACATTTCACATCAGCCACCTTGTACACACACACACACACACACACACACACACCTGAAACAGAAGTTTCAGGAAAGCCTATCAGCCTAGGTGAAAGATGCTGGTGGTTACATTGTATTCCCCTATCTCAGTTCTTACAAAATGCTTCCCTTGATTTGCTAAGTTGATTTCAGGAACCACTGCTGGGTCCTGAAATCAGTTTGAAAAATCCTGCTCTAAGTGAAGCTTATTCTTTCTCATCTCCCTTCTTCTGTATTTAAAATTTACTACCGAGAATGGACTTATGTATTAGCTTCATATTTTTCACTAAAAAATAAAGAAGAGACAGCACGGGGAAGACACAAAATAAAATCAAGTAGAATTTCTGGAAGGCAGTTATACAAGATCTGGCAAATCAGACATCTTTCAAGGTGTGCATGTGTTTTGACCGGAGATTTCCCCTGTAAGGAATGTTCCAGTGGGGTAAAGCGGCAGGGGGCTGCGTGCACCCGCTGCTCTCTGCGGTTCTGTTTATAATAATGAAACCTGCCTCACACTCCAAGCCCCCTAGAGCCATCCCTGGCTGTCCCTTCGCTGGTGGGGCAGTGGTTTCATTCCAGATTTATTTATTGACACGGAAAGAGGGTACCAGGAGTCAAAAATTAATGTCAGGCTACAATAATCCTGCTCTTGTTATTAAAATATATATTTACAAATGTTGGGGGGGGATAGGGAGAGGCATGTTTGAAAGTGCTCACACCCTGAGGTTACCTTGGGTTGGTTTTATTTTCTCCTAACTCTTCTGAGTTTTCCTCGATGAGCACGCACTATTTTTGTAAGAAGGAGAGCTTTTAAAGGAAGAGAGCGAAGAAAAGAAAGGAAAGGAAGACACGAGGGAAAAGGAAAAGAGAAAGGGGAAGATGAAGGGGACGAAGGGAGAGTGGGAGGGAGAAGAGAAAGAAGAAAAGTGTGTGTGTGTGTGTTCGTGGTGTGTGTGTGTTCGTGGTGTGTGTGTGTGTGTGCTGGAACCCCTCGGAGCCGGGAGCCAGCCGGCCGCGTGGGCAGTGGCAGGAGCTCCGGCGGGTCTGAGCGTCCAGTGCTCCGAGTTTCGGTCCAGGAAGCCAGACCCAGCCGGGTGCGCGGGCGGGGAGCAGGCTCCGCAGGGAAGGGAGGTCGCACAGCGCGCCCAGCGAGACCCCCAAAGGCGGGCCCGGTCGAGGAGCGGCCGCAGCAGGCTGTGGGGCCAGGCGGCGGCTGCGGGTGCTCCTGCGCCGCCCTCCGCTGCCTCCGGGCCACCAAATCCCCACCCCGGCCAGCGCCTGCAGCGCCTGCCGGAGCTCAGGGCAGGCCCTCCCCGGCGCCCAGCCGCGTCCCTGCGGCTGGTTCAGGATTCTTCCTGGGGGTTTTGGGGGGGGGAGGGGGAGGGGAGGAGATGCAGAAATACCATCTGTGCCAATTGGTTCTTAAAAGTTTTTTTTTTAAATTTAAATACTTTTAAAGCAAAGCAAAAAAAAAAAAAAAAAAATCCCAGCTCAGGGTGTCAGTTCCAAAAACTTTTCACAGAGGAGCAGCGTGGGGGCTGGGCGCGGAATTGGAGGCGGCGTTGGTGGAGCAGGGGCCTCTCTTCACGCTCCTGCTGCATCCCCCTCACCCCTGCAGAGCCCCCTCTCACACGCGCGCTGCTCACACCCAGGCGGTCACTAGCACTCTCTCCTTCCATCCCGAGACCCGGACGGTCCTGGGTTCCCGGGCGGGAGAAGTTGGGCTGCCCCGCTTGCCCCACTGGCGACCTGCGGACTCCCGCCTCAGCCCTTTCTTCTGCACCCCCGCCCCCCACTGTTCCGCTCCAGGTGTCGCTAGCAGAGGGGGGTGGCGGCCGCGCTAATCCCGTGCTGGCAGCGTCGCCCTCCCCCAGGGAGCAGCGGGGGACCCAGTGAGGGCCGGGATTGCGCGGGAGCGCCGGGACCGGACTGCGGACACAGAGCGGTGCCAAACGCCACGGCCCCCTGCCCACCAGCCCCCGACCCGGCCACAGGCGTCCCCCTCTTTCCGGGCTCGGTCCTCTCCTCCATCTCGCTCCCTTTCTCCACTTCCCAGCACCGAGCGCGTCGCGGGTGGTGGTGGCCAGGTCTGGCTCGAACTTGGGGTAGCGAAGGAGGCGCAGGAGGAGGGGCGTGCGGGACAGGGGGCTCACTCCGCTCCGCCCCCGCCCGGCAGGAGGTGTTGCTGCGGGAGTGGCGGCGCTGCCCTCCCGCCCTTCCCCGTCTCCCCTCCCTCCGCCACCTTGCGCTTCGCTAGTCGCACCTCCCGCGGACCCCCGCAGGCAGGCGGGGATTGCAGGGGAGGGAGAGACGATTCTGCAGGTGCGGGAAGGGGGCTAAGGGAGGAGCGGGGTGCGGGAACCCGGCGAGGGAGGAGCCAGGTGCGGGAAGGGGGCCAGGGAGGAGCCAGGTGTGCGGAGGCGCCCGCGGTGGTCGGGAGCGCAGTCCTGGAGTGTCCGTAGCCCCCTCATCCTCCACGCCGCCCCTCCCCCACCCCATGGGACGGTCGGAGAAGTTAGACGCGCGGCTGCAGGGGCAGCTGTGGTTGCGCGTGAGCGCAAGCGCGCGCGGCTGCAAGTAAGGACCCCCTCGCCTCTCCCGCCTCCTTCCAGGACCCCTCCCGGCTGGGTTTGTCGGTTTCTCTGCCGACCCCACATACTCCACCGTGGGTGTGCGCGTGCATGTGTACACTCCTGGGTACCCGCATCGTCCCCTTTACATATTCCTTGCCCTCCCGCGCCCCTGCCAGCGCCGGCTCCTTCCAGCCACCCTTCCCCCCAGGGTCACTATGGGGACGCGAGGGAGAGATTTGTGTTTAATTCCTGCCGCTATTCAGAAGAAAGAAAAAAGAAAAGGGGACCAAAGGCAACGCGAAAGCAGTTTACTTCAAGCTTTTATTATTGTAGCGTAAAAGAAGTTTATATACAGAGAGTATTTCCAGCAAAACACTCAAAAATGGCCTTCGAATCAGGGGCCTCCCACTTCCTGGCCCCACAGCCGGCAGCTCTGCCCAGGAGACCCCTCACTCGGGGTCTCCATGCGCTCCCCTTCTCTCTCTTCCCGCGGACTCCTCCACCCACACCCCGTTTCCCAGGAGTCCCAGCCTCTTCCTTCTCCCTGGGGCGCTGCGAACCTCGCCAGTGCCTCTCAAGCCGGCTTCCTCTGGTACCGAACGGCACCCCCAGCCCCCCTCTTTGACCCCCTGTGTGGCGCTTTCCTCCCGGAAGCCCAGAGTACTTTCCCTCCCTCGTTTCAGGCGCTGCTGCGAGCCCTCTGCAATTCAGAACCAGCTCGTGGTCAAGACCAGTTAGAGACAGCTCGTCATCAGCAGTGGGGCTCCTGAGCACCCAAAATAAGGGGGGGGAACCCTGGCCACCCTTCCCCACCCCAAGCCCCCATTCCCAACTCAGGGACAAGAAATAGACACAAAAGCAGCAGAGCGCCCCCTCCCTGCCAACGACAGGTGTGGGTGCCAGGCACCTAGGGCGAGTGGCAGGCACTGATGGCTGGCCAGAGACTCTCCGCGAGGGCTGCTGCACCTGGCTGAAGGCACAGTGGCTCTTCTCTCTGGTGAGGGGGTGTGAGAAGCAGGGGCCTCCGCGGGGACGAGTGGGGGAGGAGAGGACCCAGGCAGAGGTGGCATCCACACTCAGAAGGGGGATTTCGAGCCAGCCAGGGAGGTGCAGGTGAGGGACAGTCACGGCATCAGAGTCCGGGGAGGAGAGGGAGAATTTTCAGGTGCCTTGGCTAGGGGCGCAGACCCAGCCGGCGATCCCTGGCTCAGCACATCTGTGTCATGGGGCCCTCTGCACACCCGACTTGTTTGGGGGGCATTTGCACGTGGGCTTCGAAGGCTCGAAGGCATGGCCTGTCAAGTTCAGCCAACTGGCCCATGGTTGTTTACACTCGGCGGGGCTGAGCGCCGTGCAGCTGCTCCTCATAGCGCTCCAGCCAGGTGCGCAGCTCAGACACCTGGTAGCCGTCCGGGCCGCGGCCACCCTGGTACATAATGGTGCCATTCTGGATTACGTAGAGGCGCTCGAAGTAGGCCCCATAGGCCGAGCTGCTGGAGTTGGCCATGGTGTCCAGGACAAGGGAGCAACTGGGCGCCCCTTGCTGCAATACTTGGGCGGCGCTGACCCGGTCCTCCAGGCTTCGGTGCTGCGGGATACTGTAGGGGGAGTCCGTGGTGACCCAGCCATCCGAGGGGTGGGCCTCCTCGATGTAGATGATGAGGAAGTCGACGTCCCGCTGGTATTTGGTGACCAGGCGGTGGAAGGCGCTCATGCGCGCCATGAACGGTGGTCAGGTGCAGCTGCCAAAATTGAGAACCAGCGGGCGGTTCCCTCTCGCGTAGTCAAGGATGTGCTGGTTCTGGAAGCCGTGGGGCAGGACCACCTCGGAGTTGGGCGCTGGACCGCCCTCATAAGCCTGCTTGAAGAAATCCAACTTCTGGCCGTGCCAAACGGCCTTCAGCGATGCCAGGGTGCACAGGCGGTTGTCATCGGACACGCAGACAGGCGGGTCGTCGGGGGGCACCTCCTCGCCGTCACTGTCGAGCTCCACGGCAGGTTCGGGCTGACCCCGGCGGCGGCGGCCCAGGAAATGCTTGCGGATGCACAGGAAGTCCAGGAGCCAGAGCATGAAGGCCGTGCCGAGGAAGCGCGGGAAGAGCACGAGGCACGAGGCCGTCTGGGCGCAGAGCCTCAAGGAGTGAAGCAGCAGGGAGCGGAGCATGGTGGCTGCAGCCCCCGAAGCCCCCTGGGACCCGCTACCTTCACCCACCACCAACCTCGGGTTGGCCTGGCGCGGCATCTGGGCTTTGGCTGTACGGGGAGCTCGATTTATAGCCGAGGCTTCAATTGGCGGGAGACTCCACCTCCGGCCCGGGCCCGCCCCCTTGCAACTTGAGCCCGGAGGGATCACCCAGCGGCGTGGCCAATGCCTTAGAAATCTAGGGCCGAGGGCGGGCGCAGGCGCCTGGGAGGAGGGGGGCGCGGAGCGGCCCTGCTAGGGGCTGGCGGGGGCGGGGCCGGGCCCCCCGAAGCGCGCTCTCGGGGGCGGGGGACCCGGGTCGCTGCTGCCACCCGGGACGGGGAGCTGGACCAGGGACCCAGGCGTCCGCCGGGGAGATCCTCCCGCTCCGGCTGGCGCAAGCGCTGCGCGCGGCCTCGGTCCTGGAGGCCCGCCTCCGGCCCGCGCCCCTCTCGCCGCGCACCTGAGCGGAGCTCCCCGGCGGCCGCCGCGCCGCGCCGGAGCTCCGGTTCGCTTCCCGCGCGCCGCCGCCAACGCCGCCCCCGCCGCTGCTGCTCGTGCGGGGCCGCTGCCCAGGTGCCGCGGGAGCCCGGGTCCGCGGCCGCCGCTCTGCCGGCCCCGGCTCCCGCCCCGCCGGGGACGCGGACCCGCGAGGAGGCAACTTTGGGCCCCCGCCGCCTTCCCCGTTCGCCCGCGGGCGCCGCTCGCCTCCCGGAGCCCGCCCGCCCGCTCGCCTCCCGCGCGCGCTCACACTCGCGCCTCGCACACGGCCGCCCCCCGCACCGCCCCGCCACGCACACCGCGCTCGGCGCCCCCCGCCGCTGCCCGGGGCCGCCGCGCGCCGTCCCGGCCGCGCCCGCCCCGTCCCATCTCGTCCCGGCTCGGCGCCGCTCTTCTCGGGTCAGCGGCCTCTGGGGCGCAGCGGGGAGGTGCGGAGGCCAGGGCCCGAGGGCCGCTTAGCGCCCGGCGCCGGAGACGAGGAGGGCTGGGGAAAGCAGCGCCGGGACTGCGCCCCAGCCGGTCCCGGAGCGCTTCGGGCGCGGGGCGCCGCGGGCGCGGGGCGCGGGGCAGCGGGCGTGGGGCGGCGGCGGCCCCGGCGGCTCTCCCACTAGGGGTAGCTGTTGCCTGAACGCCGAAGCGCTCCCCTCTCGCCGCTCTCCTCGCCCGGCGCAGCCCCGGCCGCCGGGCGCACCCGTCCCGTGCGTCCCCGGACGTTGCTCTCTGCCCCGGGAACGTCGAGACTGGAGCGCCCGAGCTGAGCCACCTTCGCCGACCCCGAGCGCGGCAGCTCGACTCACCGCGGAGGCGCCCGGACGCGTAAAGTGCGTACTTTCAACCGAGAATGTGTGTTGAGGCTTTTAGGGGTGCGGGGCAACTCCCCAACTCCGTGGGGCCCTCGTCCGCCCGGCCGCCGAGTCAGCGACCTTCTGATTCCTCGCTGAGTCCGGCGCCGGGCCGGCGACTCGTGCGCAGGGGCGGCGGGGCGGGGAAGTGCGCTGACCTGGGGTCCCTGAAGCTGGGAGCAAGCCCCGCTTCGCCTTGGTCCGCCTTGTCCTCCGGGGCGAGGCCCGGGCCCGGTCGCAAGCGATTTGTACCGGGTCTGGGGAATGGAGCCTCCCGGTACGCCCTCGCAGTCGCCGGGACTTCTCTGGGGCGGCGGTGGCCGAGTCCCGGGGCCACCGCCGCCTGCGTCCCGTGCGCTGCGCGCCTCGGGGACCAGCTCCTAACTTCTTCCCGGGACAGAGACAGCTCTCGCGCCGGTGGCCGAGGTGGGAGCTCGCTCGCTGGCTGGATAGGGCGAGGGCGAATCGCTCCCGGTGGCGGCGGCGACGGTGGCGAGGGCGACGGTGAGGGAACGAGGCTGGAGAAGTCAACTGCCGGGCAAGGAGCCCCCACCCGGGGGCCAGCGGGACCCCGCGGGCGCGGGGGTAGACGCCCCGCCTTGGGCCGAGGTCCTCCTCTCCAGTTTTCGCGACCCTAGTGGGCCCCTTTGCCGTGTAAGTTTCCCGCTGGACCAGTGGCTCCAACAGGTCAAGACCCAGAGAGGAAGGTGGGGGGCACTTGAATGTAGCCCCCCTTTTCTTTCTCCCAGCCTGGCGATTTCTCTGCTGTCGGCTCAGGGATTTGGGGCTGCACAGTCCAGGATCTCCCTGCCTGGAGGAAAGCCAGCCTGGTCCCAGCTTTTCTCAGCCTCTTGGCACTGCCCCTCATCCCCCTGGGTAGGGGTCCTTCAGGAAGGGTTAGGGAATTCTCCCTCAGCCAAACCTGACTGGAAGGGGGGGGACCGGTCCAACTTGTCTGCCCCCCCACCCCCGCCCACTTCTCCAGGGCACCTCTGAGTTGGCAAATTGTTTCCTTTCTTTGCCTTGCTCCCCTCTCGGGGGTATGTGGGGAGAGAAGCCTCCTGCTTGGCAAGTGTCTGAGAGGGGGTTTGGCGGTCTGGGGTCCCCCTCCTGGGCAGGGGCAAGGGGAATGCCAACTTTGGTTGGCAAAACTTTCAAACCCCTATTCCTTGGTTTCTTTGGGGGGGGGGTGCCAGTCTAGGACCTGTGCCCTGCTCCCACCCAGGCAGAAGCTGGGACAGGGCCATGGGGCAGCCCTCCCCCATCCCATATTTGAGTTTCAGAAAATGAAAAAGCCACTTGGGGCTGGGAGAGCCCTTTGTGCTGCCTGGGATCTGGTGGGGATGCTGCTGGTTGCTGGAGCTGGTGGGCGTGTGGAAGGAGTGGGCTGGGGCACGTGGGGGACAGGTCCTCCTCATCCGCCCCGCCAGCCGGCCCTCCCAGCCACCCTGACCCCGCACTGCCTCCAGCCCCAGGGAGGCTCGGGAGAGCAGCACTTGTCCCTAGGGCTGTCGCTGCTCCGGGGCTCTGCTTGTTTCTTGGGCTGACACGCTGTATTCCATGTCTCAGGGTTCCAGAACATTGGACAAGGTGATCAGGCCCGTCTGGCTCCCACTGCCTCCCGTGCAGGTGAGGACAGACTCAAGGTCCATGCCTTTAGAAGCCAGGCCCAGGCGTGGCAACTTTTACTCCATTCCTCTCTTCTCCCTCTCCTAAATCCTCTCGCCTCCCCAAGAGCCCCCACTCCACCTTCTTTCCCTTTCCTCAGGGTGGAACACCAGCTTGCCTTAGACCTGGCCCTTCCTACCAACTGCTCCTCCTGTCCTGACCTGTCCTGGGGAGGTCAGCAGTGAGAGTCTGGGTCCAAGGCCCAGAGACCTGGCCCCGTTGGCCTGGCAGGCTGCACGCTGGGGTCACCAGAGTGGGTGCTGGGGCCACCAGAGTGGGTGCTGGGGCTGTTCCCCAAGCCTCCGGGTATGGCTCTGACTGTCCCCCCTTCCCGCCTGCCCTCTCACAGCTCCAGCAGGGGGCGGGCAGGGGAAGGAAAAGGAAGGACAAGTTGAACTGGGTCCATCTGGTGTCCAGGAGCAACTTGAAAGGGGGTGGGGGGAGGGGACAGGCGAAGAGGGCTTGGCTCAGCCAAGGGAGGGTTGGGTGGCCTCGCTTCCCAGGCCATTCTCACAGGGCTGTTCTCCCCGGGCAAGGGAGGGGCTGGGCAGTGTTTGCCCAGGCTCTGAGCCCTCCCCCGCAGTGCCCTGTATGGGGCTTGGTGGGTGAATGGGTACAGCCTCCCTTTTTCTCCTGGTGAGCAGCTCCCAGGGACCAGAGAGATGGCTGCTGAGACTTCCCACGGGAGCAGGCTGGGCAACACGGCAGGAGGAGGTGGGCCAGCCACGTACCGGCCAAAAGTGGCGGAGAACCAGGTGTGTGGTGTCCGAGCCCTTGCCCACCCTCGTGGTAACTCAGCTGCCAGGGCCTCAGCCTTCCACGGGCCTCAGGAATTCCCACGTTCTCCCTCTGTGCTCCCTCCAGCTGGCTTTCCTTCCCCCTCCTCCTCCACCCCTTCCCCTCTGCCTATGCTCTGCTTGCCCCACCCTAAGAGGGAGCTGGGACCTCCCTTGTCCTCCCCTGTGTCCTCACCCCTGGGCATTCCCGCAGTGCTGAGCCTCAGGAGGGCTGGGCTGCACCTTAGGTCCCCGCCCGTCTCTGCTGCTACTCCGGTCCTGCCTCCCCCAGGTGGGCCCAGCTGGATCCTTCCCAGAGACCTGCTCCCAGCACCCAGGAGAAGCCCAATAAACCTTCGTGAAATGAGTGAATGAGTGTGGCATGGACTTACTGGAGACTTGTTTCCGGAGAATTCCAAGGCATTTCATTCTGCCCTTTTTCCTACTGGCGGCTGGGAACGAGGTAGGGCATGTAGGTAGTCGGGGCCCGGGGAGGCCTTGCTGGCCATGGGGCCAGCCCGTTTCCCTTCTGAGGTGAACAGGCCATGCCATGGGCATCCTCCCATTCTGTGCTCACACATATTGTTTGCTTCCAGAATCACTTCTTTCCCAACTTCCTTCCACTGGGCTGGGCTGGACAGGGGGGCGGTGGCTGTGGGCTTGCTGGTCTGTCTGCTCTTAGAAGGGTCCTTAAGACAGCAGGTGTCACACCCCTTCCGCCCCTGTTGGCCCCCTCCCGGGGGTGGAAGGTAGGACCGGGAGAGCTGGTCGAGCTCCCCAGGTGGCTGGGCAGGTTGGGAGCCCGGCATTGAGAGCTCGGGAGGGCCCCAGAGCCTGGATGGGCAAGGGTTTGGGTAGCATTCCGGGGTTAGAGGCCTGGGGCTCTTGGCCAAGGGGAGGAGAGAGCCCTGAAGGTGACAGCCAGGCCATCTGCTGTGTGACCTGGGCATGTCCCATCCCACCCGTTGGGTCTTACCCACACTACAAGGGAATTGGGAGGCTACTTCCCAATGCCTTCCCTGTGCTGGCCCTCCACAACTCCAGAAGGTTCAAGGAAATATTATAGGACCTGTCCTGCTCCTGCGTGCTGCTCTGGGGCTGTGAGACCCCCACTGGAGGGTGGACTGCATCTCTGGCCTTGTTACTTGGCCCCAGCTTTTCTTTCGCGTGCCCAGCCCCTGCCACAACTCTGGGCCCTCACATTTCGGCCCACCCGCTCCTCAAACCCTGGGCGCCAGTGTTCCTGCTGTGACTACAGCCCCAACCGACACCCCCAGGCTCCCTGGTGCGCGGCCAGGCCCCTCCGGGGTGGGGGGAGGGGAGCTGGTGCCTGCCAAGGGTCCCCCGTGGGTGCCTGGCCCTTCCTGGGGCCAGAGGGGTGTTG